AGTTAGTGTTTATTTTCATATCAAAATATGGCATACAGTTGCTTCAAACAATGGTATAAACATCATTCAATGTAAATTGTGATAATCGTAATTAATAATCGCAATTACAATTTCAAGAACATAACCAACAATTATGATTTTTGTCATAATCGTGCAGCCCTAGTGTCAATGTTTGCATCGCTCATCAGCTGGAAAAAATTGTTCTGAAAATTATTCCAACGATATTGTTTCTCTGTGCCTTTATTATTTTATTAACTTTATTATGTGCCATTATAGCTATGGTGTGGACTGTGCTATTCTTTGATATTGAGAATGATTTTTAGAACTATCTTTATAGTTATTAGGGCTGTGCGATATTGAAGAAATATGTGATATGCGATACCTTGTTAAAAAATGTGATATTCGATATGCGATACTATATTGCTTAAAGTGTGTAAAGTAAATTTCAATTAAATTTTAAAATATTTCAAAATGAAAATTATATAACCAATTTGTTTCACATTCTTTCTTGGAAAAGAAAGAATCACTACAACTTCTGAAAGTGACCAGCAGTGTTTTAGCATTACATAAAAAGTAATGTCACAAATCAGAAAATGTCATTTTAACATCAGTGTGAACATACAAACAAAAAAAATTAATGACACAAATTTTATATCATTGTAACTTTGCTTTCCATACACTTTAAGTACTTCTTCATATACCACAACAAAAACTATAGTCTGAGAAAGTTCAAAAATGATTAAAGGCAAGTGAACATTCAGTAAAAAAAAAAGAAAGAAAAAGATATAAACAATTTACAAGCATAGATAATATAAACAGTAGTATTCAGGTTTGTTATAGCCGTTTTGTTAACATTAGTGACATATTCAGCAGCACTTATTTATAGGCTGCTGTCCCTTTAAAACCAACTGCACGGATCCAGCATAATGATACACATCCGATTTCTTTCTCAGAGAAGTGTTTCTTGGAGGTTATAGTACATTGAAGAATGATCATATTACTTTGTACATACGCCATGTGACCTGTGAAAGCGAAAAAGCCGTTTCCATTGCAGTTTTGCGAATTATTCCTTTTTCGCATTGCCTGAAAAACCACCTCATGCGAGCGTAAAAACTTTTTTGCGATATATGGGCGTTTTTGCGAAATTGACGTGTTTCCATTAGGCGTATTTTCAATTCGCAATTTCAATTTGCGCAATTTGAAGGGTAATGGAAACGCGCC